TGTTTTCATAAATCAAATGGAGACAGGAGACGGAGAGCATAACAACCCCATTCGAAGTAAGAGCGTGATTTCTCTTTTCAGTTTTCAGATGGATTATCTGACAGTTTGTTAGGGTTGCAATTGCAATTCGCCCGATGATCCGCTGGCTGCAAGTCGGTCTTTCACGTGGTGTCTTGACTGAAGAAAGCCTCGTTGTTTTGAGTCAAGTGATTCTTCAAGTGTCGCAAGATGAAATTGACGACAATCTTCCTAACAATGAAGAAGAGGCTGATATTCTTGCAGGAGGAATTGAAATTAATCCACCTCAGGAAGAAGAAGGACCCTGGGAAAATATCATAGCAGAGATCCCAGCAGAAGAAATTGACTTAAACCTGGCCCAGCAAGCAGTAGATCCGATAGTGGAAGAAATGAGATGGTTCTGGGAAGACGAAGGGTCTGATAGTGACAACGAAAGTGTCACTGAAAATGACAATGATGACAGTGACCCTGATAACAGTGACAATGAAGACTCAGACAGTGGACAGGCTGCCCCTGTGTTATTGCCCCCCAGCCCAGTACCGGGGGGTTTAAGGAGAGAAGAGGAGGACGATGAAGAGGAAGATGGGAGAGACAGAAAACATTTCAAATGCTGAATTTTGCTGCTGGACACTCAGCATTGCACCCCATCTTCCAATCCCATTGTCCGACATGTAACTCCTAAGAGACTGAATCTTGGCTGGCCTCCTCTGACCCACTGATTTAATTCCCTGCCACCAGGGACCTTTTTACCCGTGGCACAATATGATTGTGCATACAAATGGATTAGCTTTTCAATATACTACCCAAGAACGAGGATGGCTCACACTGGAGCCGACACTGAACTCATCAGTGTCAATCGAACTCATCAGCAACCAGCTTCAGGTATGTTGCTTTGACTGATCATTATACCTTACAGTGATATCACCTATAATTGTAATAACTTGTTTCAGACTGATTCACTGTTTATTAGAATATATTATACATTCTGTTTCTTTCTCCAGAGGAGCTTGCATCTGATAAAAGCAGCAAGGACAAATCCAGGAAACAAATGGTTAGACGGAAAGAGTGAAAGGGTACACCGTGCACAAAGTTTTGAACCTCATTACAGCGCCAGTTTAAGATGGGGTTTTGGTCCACTCATCTGGTCTGGATTCTGCTGACTTCGATGAAGGGATAGATTCTTGCCATGAAATGCAGGAATGTATTCATAAAATATAGTTTGAGTTAGAGTTAATGGCACCAAATGTGATTTAATAGAATGAATGAAAAACTGATGTGTGTATTAAAAACATTGAATATTAAACTACAAATCTGTCCTCAGTAGTTTTCCTCTGACACCGATGCATAAACTCTACCGGTCAACTCCGTCCCAGCGGTACCCCGGTGGAATATTGAACCGTTTTGGAGCTGGAGCTGGGCCTTTATATCGAGGTATATTGTGGGAGTAGAAGTGTGTTTCCCTAGATCAGGGGTGTCCAACTCCAGGCCTCAAGGACCGGCACTCGAGGCATAGAGTTGCCTACACCATTCCCTGAGCATCTAGAGCAGGGGTGTCAGCACACTTGAGTCAGATGATTAGTTCATTCCCAGGCCTCTGGAGAACTTCAAGACATGTTGAAAAAAGTGGGTTATGGAAAGAGTCCATTTGTATAAATCTACAACACTTCGTAGAGCTGACTCGCAGAAAAATATTGTTATGTTTAAACAGAGCGGTGTTTTAAGAACCAACCGTCTGCCATCTATAATCCAGTTTTGAGATCCCTTCCCAGACGCCTTAACACCCACTCATCATATCTGTACCCCTAGGGAGGCCATAGCCCATCGGACCTACTACAGAAAGGAATAAATTAACTCACATGACTAGGATGTGTAGGGGGCGTCCTAGGACTTTCTGAGCAGATCAGAGCTAGCTCACTAGTTTTAAAGCAGAATAAATACCTTAGGCTGATTGTTGACTCACCCTACCTTCTGCATCTCTTCATCTACACGCTTCTGGTTCATGTGTTCGCACTTTAGGTAGACGAGGGATACATTAGGTTTGGCCTTGGTTCTCATTTGTCTACCATCGGTGGGTTAGCTCACCCTTCTTTCCTACTAGATCTTTATATATCTTTCGTGGGTGTAACCAGGTGGATGGGCGACTTCTTTCAAACATGCTTAAGTCTCCACCAATTCTGCGAGTATTTCCTTGCTTTGAAATGGATGTGGAAGGATAGGCGTCTTCGGAATGAGGATGAAGGAGTGAATATTTTAGGAAAACTCAGTTTCGTTATTCGTCGAGGAGGAACTTAAAGAAAAGTCCAGACCCGTTTGTACTTAAAAAAGCATCTCTCTATAGAAGGCTCTCTTAGAGGTATATAAAGACAAGCTGCTTTTTGGAATAGAAAGCCTTAGCTCTATCAATAGTTTCTTTTAAGAAATTAGTTATGCTGCTGTTAAAGTTATCTCTACTCGGATCTCCCGAGAGGTTGATGTCTTTTCATTTCTTTTTAAATCAGTGTCAGGTTCAATAAATACACATTCGAATAAGGGCGTTTTAAATTCATGTATACGTCTTGGTTGCAGTAGGGGCGTAATGAGGTAAGACTGATTTTATATTAGATTGAGAAGACTCTGCGCCTGAGCCTCGCAACCTGAGCGTCCCTCCACAAGTCTGTCTGATCGAGCGCA